CTGCTCACTTGGCCATGATGCACTTTCTTGTTTGAGGGGGTGGCCCTCTTAGTAACCAGAGACCCGTTCCGAAGTGAGATGGAGACACACACCTGGAGTTGTGACGGCCACTAGTACAGGCACCGGAAGCTTCCACCACAGTCCCGGCCCTGCTCAGTGGGAGCCGAGGGCCCGCCGGCCATCCACTCCACTTCTCTTTGCCTCGTTATTCCCTGTGGGGTCAAGAGAGGAGAGTGAGAGGGATCCTGCGAACATATTCTTTCCCAGAGGAGCATGTGAGAAGCAGGGGCGTACGCCTGCACACCTCTCCTTGGAGGAGGGCAGGGCGGGCCTGAGGAGGCAGGACGGTCAGTGGCTTTCAGCCGGCGTCAAGGTACATGACAAGCCTCGGCCTGCTCCTTCTGTGAGCTTCCCACTGGACTCCGGTTAACATGGTGCTCCCTGAGCTCGTGGCCTTGGCCAGCGAGCCGTCGGGGTCCCTGCTGAAGCTGCTGTGGGGGAAGAAGGCTTTTTTCCTGAACGTTCTCCCATGAGGTCTATAAACAGAGGTTCCTTGCTGGTCTTACATCAGAGTCCGCGACACAGGCTCTTCTTGGAAGACCTACAGAGAGGGACAAAGACAGTGGAAGCTGTGCCTAGTGGAGGAGTCATCTTTAAAACCTGGACCTTACGTGGCAGCTTATGTGGTTTTGTTACTTTTAAGTAAACCACCATCAGGCCAGCTAACAGTAGCAAATTAGACACAAATACAGAAATCGAGATTGATCTCAGAAACACGGCCTTGAGTGAAAACAAAGTGAGAAAAAGAAGTCTCTGTGGCCCAGCGTCCCGCACAAGTGCCGCGCACATTTAGAAGCCTGTGTGCCTATTGAAGGTGCTTGTCCAACACCCCCCAGGGTTGGGGATCAGGAGGGAAGAGGGGAAAACACTTGCATGGTGTCTGAGGTTGGGCTCCCTAGAAGCAGAGCCTGAGAGGGGATTCTTGTACGAATGGTTGATGGAGGGAGGGCTCTCAGAGGCTGGTGAGTGAGAACAGCAGACCAGGGCAAGGGGAGGACGTGCTGCTGGGTGTGCAGTCCTGCCTGACGCATGGGGAGCTCTGGAGTGGGAAATGCACAGTAGAGACTGCCCTGCTGGAAGCCGGGACTGAGCGGCGGCCTTTCCTGGAGGTATGTGCAAACTCCCTCAGGCCTCCCCAGGCAAGACTGCGCCCATCTGCCAAGGGCAATTCCCTAGGGAGAGAGAGAGGGCGTCACTAGTAGCCAACACTCCAGCAGCCGGGCCTGGGTGTGCAGCCTGGTGGAGGCGAGGCTGTAAGAGGCTGTGTGGCTGGTGATGACCAGCTTGCAGCCCCTGCCTCACCCTGGCTGCTCTTCCCAGGGCCATGCTGCTCCAGGAGGGGCTGCACGAGAAGGTTCTGGGAGAAGCCAGGAGAGAAGGAGACAGACCATGCGCATGACTAAGCAAAAGAGTGCCTTGAAGACAATGCCAAGACCTACTTGGGCTCCCCCTAAGGGCAAAGGGTCCAAATTCCACCCTAACAAAATCTGAGTTCAGCGCTGGCCTCTTCCAGCAGAGCAGGCACCTAGCTATTTCACTGAGTGGAGTGTCTCGATCCTACATTTTCCAACAGCAAAACCTCCCTGCAGCTCAAGCTGTGCATTCTTAACACCTGCAAGCGCCTGGCAGCCACCCACTGATGTGGGGGCAGAGGTGACGGCAGCACGAAGAATTCTCCCTGTGACCCCGCACCTTCCTTCCTTCCTTTGTCTCTGCACTTTGAGATCACTCCAGGCCCCCCCGCCAGCAGGAGCCCCCACTGGTGCAGGCTTTGTGATGATGGAAACTGCAGCCCTGTTGCTTCCCACCTGGCTCAGATAGCGGTTTCAGGAACCTGTGGTCTTGACAAGCAGGGACCCCTAGGAGTGATGGCTCCTGCCCAAGGCCAGGAAGGCAACTGTGCCCCATAAGTGGCACCTCTCCTAAACACAGACGCCAGAATCAATGAACAGAAAGTCCCTTTCTCATTGTTGCTGCAGTCAAATCAGTGCCCGAGGACACTGCATTCTGCAGACCTGATTTAAAATTCTGCCAGCGCCCTGGCACTCATGGGACTGCGGCTGGATGTCGGCAGAGGCTCAGACAAATGAGAAAGCAAAATGGCCGAGCAGGTTGACTCGCCTTCCTCTCCCTCACCCCCAAGCCAGGTGGTTCTGAGGAGTGTCGTGGGAGTAGGATTCTTGTGATCTGAGGATTTATAGTGGAACGAGTCCTTGTGGCTCAACCAGGCAGCTAGAAGTTGGGTAGAGACCCTTTTAATGAGCTCACCACTGATGGGGACCTTTGCAAAGTGGTCCAGAGCCCTGGATCAAGTGACCACTTGGTCTGTGAGTCTCAAGGCACCTGGCAGCTGCTCTGCATCTCAGTTCTTCCCCCTGCAACACGGGGGTGCTAGACTAACTTGCTGGTCTGCTTTTACTTGCACCTTTCTATTAGTAACAAGTTGTGAGCCTGTACCCTAATAAATGCATAACTGTTCATTTACAAATGCTACATATGTGGCCGGGCAAAAATCACCACTGGTCAAAATTACCCTTAAAATTCTTTAGTCAGGCACCGTGCTGAAGTCATACTGTTTGTTCAGTTAGCTCTTGCTCTCTAACAACCCAAAACAGAGGATTAAAATGATGCCATTTATTTAGCTTGCAATTCTATGGGGAGGTGTTTCAGGCTGGGCTCAGCTGAGTGGTTTTTCTGATCTTGGCTGGGCTTGCATATGTGTCTGTGGGCAGCAGCCGGGTCTGCCAGGGACTGGATGGGCGGGAGGGCCAGCCCCTGTGAAGGCCTGTCTTGGCTCCATGGGTTTCTCATCTTCCAGGCAGCTAGCTCAGGTGCATTCTCCCAGCACAGGCAGAGCAGAACATGTGTTATGCACATTACAAATGGCGTGCAACAATGGACATAAGAATGTCTAGGTCAGTGGTTCTCAACCTTCCTAATGCTGGGATCCTTTAATACAGTTTCTCATGTGTGGTGACCCCCAATTTTATTGTTACAAATTGAACATAATTAAAGCATAGTGATTAATCACAAAAACAATATCTAATTATATATGTGTTATCTGATGGTCATAGGCCACCCCTGTGAAAGGGTCGTTCGACCCCCAAAGGGGTCGCGACCCCCAGGTTGAGAACCGCTGTTTTAGACTCACACCGTCCAGTATGGTAGCCACGAGCCATGTGTGGCTATATAAATTCATTCAAATGAAATAAAATGTAAAACTCAGTGTCTCAGACACTAACTATATTTTAAACACTCAGCAGTTTCGTGGTCAGTGGCTACTACTGCCTGGGTCAATGCAGATTACAGAACATTTCCATCATTGCAGAAATTTCTACTTGACAGCCATTTTTATTAAATATTCAAGACTATTTGTCCCAGTCTTTAATTACAGCACATGTTAAGTGCCACACAGCACAGAGGGCATTTCATAAACACTGTCTCATTTAGTCCCTGAAACAACCTCATGAACATGGAGTGAAAATGAGGTGAGGAGGGAGGAGGAGTTTCTAAGAGCTGACAAGCAGAGGTCAGCCCTCTGTTCTCCCAGGGACTTGGGTTTTATTGTCTGAGCATCACTGTTTGGGATGTTGTGTGTATGAGCTTCTGGACACATGCTCCCAAGGCTGGTCACTGCACGTGTGCTTCTCTGTCCACAGGTACAGAGGGATTTTCTTGCAGGGTCGAGTTCGACTCAGAGCGAGTAGACTACGCAAGCCTCTCTGGGTGCTGAGAAGAGACTGCCACCCTCCCCCACTCGAGGGGCTGGACCCACGCAGAACGCTGGGGCAGGCTTCTTCCGAAATGGCAGGTAATGCTCTCCTTGGAGGTGAATCGTGTTGGGCGTGAAAAGGCACCAGGCTGCTGGGGATGCAGGGTGAGCAGGAGACAGCCACCCTTGCCCTCAGGAGCCCAAAGTCCAGGGGGGTACAGGTGATGTCACAAAGGTGTGACATCTGTGGGACAGTCAACATGACCCTAAACTAGTGGACAGGATGCCAGTGAGAATGCCCAGTGAGATTGATTGAGAATCCAATATTGAGAAGCTGACAGACACCCTTGAGCACTGGGCACGTGTACTCGACACAGGTGTCCCGCAGGACCTAGGAAAAGGGAGTTAGAACTCTTGGTGTGTCTACCTTCCCACGTTTTTAAAAAAGTCGACTCGGTTCTTTCCACCGGACCATTGTGAGGCTGAAATAGGTCAGCGGATGGGCCTGCCTGTCCACGTGAAATAGAAGAGTAAGTAGTTATTATGTGTTAAGAGCTGCAGGGAACACTGCTTACATGTGAAGCGGTAAGAGGTCCACTCTTCATGCTCGGAAATAAATAAAGGATGAACTAATGGAGACTGCTTCCTGGAACATGGGCTATTTTAAGTTGCACTCACTGGGCAACCAGCACAAATTACTTAACTTCTCTGGACCTCAATTTTCCCTCCCTTTCTCCCCTCTCCCCAGCAGTAATGAGCCCCGTCTTAGCCTTGCTTGCTGGGTGTTGACTGGGAAAATGAAGACCATCTGTGAAAAGGCTGCAGGGTTCCGTCTGGCCAGCAGTGACTGAATTACCATCCTTTTGTGGCTGATTGTTGTCTGTTTGGCTCAAGGGCTGACCATGGGCTCTGTCTGGTGGCTGAAGTTTTGCTCCCTGGGGACATATCCTCCTCTACCTTTGTGTAGCTCCAGTGCCCCCTACAGGCACTGGAGCTACTTTCCTGCTCCCCCTCCACTCCCAACCCATAACCCCCAACCCCCAAAGCCTGTTCTGGTAGGCAAGGACAAACATTGGTTTCTCAGTGAGAACTGAAATCAAGATAGGTATTTGCTCAACTGGATGGCTAATTATGGATGGGAAAGCACTGTGTTTGTGGCATGTGGAGGGTTAAGATCATGTGGGAGAGGCTGGGATGAGGTGGGGGTGGGGAAAATATCATCAGGGAATGCCTGTGTCCCTCATCCTTAACTCCATTCCTTTCCTCCTCAAATACATACGGCCAATGGAATTGCCCATGGGGGTGTGTTTGGGTGAATCCAGCCCCCAACCAACCCAACAGTTGTCCCAAATGTCAGAGCTTTCCCACTAGCTCTCTTCCAAGTACCTCAATAGGACCAAGTCAATCTGCCCCTGCAAACTCGCCTCAGCCTCCCTATTTACATTCTTAAGGTCCACATGATGTACCAAAGGGGAGAAAAAGAAACGCCGTGCTCTCGATAAATGTACAGGATGAAGACAGCCACCCTTTGCACAAATCTCTTTGGGAATGACATTGGCAGTCAGCTTCCTCCTCAGAAGGATCTGTCTGTTAGGCTAGGCCAGTGGTCGGCAAACTGCGGCTCATGAGCCACATGCAGCTCTTTGGCCCCTTGAGTGTGGCTCTTCCACAAAATACCTCATGCGGGCGTGCATGTACGGTGCGATTGAAACTTTGTGGCCCATGCGCAGAAGTTGGTATTTTGTGGAAGAGCCACACTCAAGGAGCCAAAGAGCTGCATGTGGCTCGAGAGCCGCAGTTTGCCGACCATTGGGCTAGGCTGTCGATGTAGGTCTTACCTACCCAATGGCTCAGTGTCAGGGCCAAGTAAGCTCCTGTGTGTGGTGAGTGCTTTGCAGACTCTAAGCAGAAGGGTGTTGGCTGTTACTATCTCCTGAGCATAATGAACATGCAGGCGTAAAGCCTGGCATATGCCAGATGAGTGCCAGATGAATGGGGGACACGTGGTAATAATGGTCTCTGTAGTCTAGTGAAGGACAAGGGCAGTGTTAAGGGAGGAACCCAAAGGGGGAATTTTCTTGGGAGCGACAGGGTTTCTTCTGGAAGTTCAGATCCAGGAGAATAAGACAGAGGTTTTCTGAACTGGGGAGTGGGGGTGAGAACAGGGAATCTGGGGAGGGCAGATTGAGTTCAGGCAGGCTGGTGTGCCCTGATGTCCATGGAAGACTTAGGGAGCCATTGAAGCCACTGTACCTAGGGTTGCTAAAGAAATTTCTGGAAACTTGGTGGCTTAGAACAACAAAAATCTATTCTCTTATAGTTCTGCAGGTCGGGAATCTTATACTCTCTCTGAAGATGCTAGGAAAGGAACCTTCCTGCCTCTTCCAGCTTCGGGTGGCTCCAGGCATCCTTGGCTTGTGGTAGCATCACTCCAGTCTCTGCTTCTGTCTTCACATGGCCTCCTCCCTCTGTCTTTCTAAGGACACTTGTCATGGGATTTAGGGCCCACCTTAAATCCAGGATCATCTTATCTTAAGATTCTTCATTTAATTCCATTTGCTAAGACCCCTTTTCCAAGGCCACAGTCACACGTTCCATGAGTTATATCTTTTATCCTGGACATATGTTTTTGCGGGGGTCTCAACTCAACCACTATAGCGTTTTTATAACTTTCCCCCATCTGCAATCTAACAGAAGTCATGTGTTTCTAAGTGAGAAGGGCCACGGCATATATGTACATTCAGTGGACAATGATGTACCTCGTCCGTGCTCTTATGTATTCAGTTTGGTTAGGAAAGTTGTGTTTTTAAACCTAAATCAAGATGTCATCATAGAAACAGAACCACTCAAGAAGAGTTGTCCAAGTGGTATAGGTAGTGTCCATCCTAAAGTGGGTGTGTTGGACTGTGGGATGCATTGGCTTCCTTTCCGGAAGAAGGCCCGGAGACAGGCTGCATAGGGGTGGGCGGAGCCTCCTTGTGTGGCTCTGTGGATTGTGTCCGTAGGGGCTGACGTCCAGTCACCACCCAGTTCGTCTGGCCTTGTGCTTTGGGTATGGGGCTATGTCAGCCCAAGGTGAGGACACCAGCTCCTCTGCCCTCCTCCCTCAGGGGGCACTCTTTCACACATCCTCCAGTGGAAGTGGGGACCTCTTCCCAATGTACCCTGTGTGCTCAGGGAGACCCAGGGAGACTACTGAGAAATCCTCTGAATTTTATTGTCCTTTTCACCCCTTCTTCTCTTTAAAAGCTCTTGTCAACCTCTGGGACTGCCCCGCCCCGCCCCCATGGACCACCAGTGGAGATCTGGAGACTCCTTATACACTGGGAGAAACTCCACTTTTGTACACTTCTAGCCCAACATTGGCTGTCATACCCAAATCCTAAGCGCAAACTGGACCCAAACAGAAAAAAAAAATCAGAAACAAAGTCTGAATGTGGAGCTAAGAAACGAGAGGCCCTCAGTAGTTCAAATTCTCCCTGGGAACATAGTCCCAGTGTAGGTGACAATGTCGCAGCAACAGCTGGAGTGGTGACAGATGTCTCTACCGGTACTTTCATGTTGATTATTCGAGCAGAGGGTTGGGTCACCAGTGACCATTTTCAAAAGGCTTCCTTGGCCACAGTTTGGGAAAACACTACGGCAGGTGTGGGCCTGAGGGATGTGGCCCAAGCATTGGCCCAGGGAATATTAATCACTCCTGTTGCTTATTGTCAGGGGAACAGGGATGGCTGGTTGGTAAACCAGCAAGCCCTGTGGACAGGTCATGAATGGACACCATCACTTTGGAGGGTGGCAGAGTACCTTAAAATCAATACCGCCTAGAAATCAAAGGGGTTTGGGGACTTTTTTGCCAACACCATGCAATGCCAATATTTCACAGTGGAGGAACAGGCACTCTGAGAGTGTTGTTATTCCAAGACAAAGTGCTGTAACTTCAAAGGCAATGAAAGGTGGGCCTTGGTTGTCCACCATTTACAAACAACGTTCTCATCTCCTTTGACCGAGCAGGTAGTGGGTGGAGAAATCAGAGCTGGCTTCTCAGTGTGTGTGTGTGCGTGCGCGCGTGCACCCATGAGTGTACTTTCAAGTGCATGCAAGTGTGTATATTTTTTTGGCAGGACAGTGATAGGTGATCTGTTTGGGGTGACCTGAGAGGCTGTAACTTGGGGGAACGTAATGAAATCAAAAAAAGAAATTGAGAGTGATCTGTGGGGTGGGGGGAGGATTTTCTAATGAAAAAGCAGAAAAAACCTTTGGCCTTGGTCCTCATAGGCCAACTAGAATCAGTAAAGCATTGAACAAATAAGTAGTCAGGAATACTTGTGTCCAGGGGCTGCAAGAAGATGTTATAACTGATTCTTTGTCCTCTTTATTTTTGGAGAACCTTCCTGTCAATAATTTAGGAGGACAAAAAATATTTTTTAAAAGGATGCTTAATTTCCCTCTCTTTTAAACTACTCTGATAGCTTGGTACTAATCATTCGAACAACAGATGGCTTGGCAGTGAAGTCATAAGTAAGCAGAAGGCCATAGGAGCTATGAAGAATAAAGACCTAATGTATAATATTTTATAGTGGTTGGAGTCTTTGAGATTCTCCTGAGAACTGTCTTTTTTAAAATCTAAATTCAGTTGTCTATCTCATCCAAGTTTCCAGCAAGGGGGTGGGGGAAACTGGAAGTTTCTTTTCAGATATCAAATAGAGTTGACTTACCAGACACCCCAGGATAGGCAGGAGTATCAATATTTCATAGAACATCTTTCCTCTCCCACGCTCACTTCAGGATCAGGGCTGAGGTATGGAGTTAGGTGGATTTAATCCCAGGAGCTCAAGCTGCCTCATTGAAGGAATTAGTGAGAGAAGGTTCTTAGATATCAAATACTGAATGTTCCAAGGACAGCAAACACCTACTTGAGGAAAAACCTTATAATCCAAGCATTCTTTATGGGGCACCCCAGTCAGAGGTTGGCTGGGGACACAATGATTGTCATGGGATAAAGACCTTCCTGAATAAATTGCTGATAAATTGATAAATTTAGTATCTCTCTCCATCTCTCTCTCTCCCCTCCTCCCCTCTCCCCCTCTCTCTCCCACCCT